GCTGAGCTCTCTGCCCTCCTTCTCCAGGAGGAAGATTCGTGAAGTCTCGCTACCTGCAGTACGATAAGAAAGACACCAAGAAGGTACTTGGCCGCCTGTCTGCCGAGTTCGGGTGTCGCTCGGCAAAGGATGGAAGGGCCGTGAGGCGCGGCTCGGACGTGTGGCAGCAAGAAAGAAGCAAAAAACGACTGTTGGCGCTTTGAGGGAGTCGTGTGGTATTGTTAGATGCAGACTGGGATGGCGACTTGGGACTGTACTCAGATCTAACTCGCAAAGCACCAAGACGCCCTGGGGTTGTAGCTGTTTATTGTCAGCAGTCGGGTTCGAGGTAAGGTATGTCGCTGATCACGATTGCTGCTTATGTTCGGTCTTGTCTGTTTCTTGTCAGGATTCTTTATCAAGTTCCTTTTCAAAGCCTCCTGCTAAACAATCTCCTGCATCTAAATCAAGATCAGTTCTTCCTCAGAAAGCTAAGACATCCACTGGTAGGTTTTACCATAATGTAGAAGCTATTCTTTTGTGAACTTGTTTCCAACCTATAGAACTGTTAACATCTTTAAAATGTTAATAGATGTCATTTTGTATTACTTGCATTACTGTCAGTTATCATCTGTATTCAAAGGGACTTAACCATGTAGGGTTAAGAGGTGTAAACACAAATGCATTAAACCTCTTGTCTGGATGTTCTGACAGAAACCTAATCTAGAATTGAATGATGAGTTGTTAAAAAAAAAAAAAAGGCAGCTCTCATTTTCTACACAAGAAGAACTACTTTGAACTACTTTCAAAATGTCCTCACCATTGCTCTGCTTTTTGTGTTTTAATCTTTTTAATAAACCCAGTGTAAATGACTGAAAATCCATGTCTGCAAAACAGTGTTTCTTTTGTAATAATAGCAAAATAATTTTCTGCTTGGACCTTAACTTTAAAATCCCGAGGAAATAACATTGTTCATTTTTCACACCTGAGTGCTGTGGATGAACTGTGGAAGTTAGGGAAGTTGTATCTTATTATATACAGGTGATGTATATAAAATAAATATGTCAAAGTTTGGATAAGATTGCCACATATTACTGAAAGCATTTATAATTGTGAATTTGTGCAGAATCTTTTCTAATTCTTTTTGTCTGATAACAGCTTCTTTAGGTGCTGACTCTAGCTCATTAAACCAGAGTAGTTTTGGGAAAGGTGTCTTGCAGTCCACATTATTAGATGATGATAAAATTAGTCGACCAGACCTAGATCTTTCTGCTATTAATGGTAAGCTTACACTCATACTCAATTCTTTATTATTTTTAACACATGCTGTAACTTAATAAGTAAACTTTGTATTTTAAGTGAGGTGGATGTTATTTCAATAGTCTTTTAGCATATGTATTAAGGCCTTCAGGGTTTAAGTCAACCTCTTGACTTTCTAGTAGTTTTCAGTGCTTTGTTCCTTAATATTTGATTTTAGACTAAAAGAACAGTGTTAGATTAACAGCCCTTCTGAAAATTGTATCCCATCTATCTATAACTATCACTTAAAAGCTAAATGCTCATGTGATCCCCATCTCTTGAGTATCAGCAGAGCCAGAAAGAAAGCAGAAGTCTTCTCTGCTGGTAGACATAATAATTTTGAAGTTATTTCTGCCTTTGAATTACTTGATGGCATGTTGACCCACCCTGTATACTTTTGTAGAAGAAAGGAATAACTTTTCTGTTGTGATACAGAGACATCTGTCCGCAAGAAGACTCCTGCTCCAAAACATGATTGCAAAGGAGATAAAGAGACAAGTAAAAACCAAGAAAAAAGAGTGAGTCTCACTGCATTCAGTTGTTAAGCATATTTACTTTTAAATGTGTGGAGTGAAGATTTTCTGTTTATCTTTATCCTTGATAATAACTTTGAGGTCCTAGGATGATCTAGAGCATTCTGGCAGAAAGAAGATAAGTCCATTCTACTGCTAGCAATGTTTGTTCTGTTTGTCAGGCTTGTCAACACTGACTGAAGTTTTCTTTGTTTCTTGTGCTAAAGAATCTGATTCAATGGTCATACCTCCTCAAGTGGATTCTTTCTGTATTCCTGCCCATACTTTTTAATTATATCATGTTATCTTGAAAGATTTTCTACTATTTTTGCTCAGAAACCCAATATTGATTCAGCCTAACTTGAAGTGCCTTTTTTAGGGATGTCACTCACTATAGGACTGAAACTTTTAAGTGCTCTGTCAGTATTATCAATTTGTTCTACAGCTTTTCATATTATAGTGTTTAAACCCACAAACTTTTCAGTGAGCTCACTGTTGATGATTGGGAGCACAGATTGGACTTTTGGTAATTTGAGTGTTAAAAAATAGTTTAACTGCCCAAATTGACCTGCATATTCTTTTTTTTTTTTTTCTGAAGAAAAATGATTCTGATGCTGTGATTGAGGAGCTGGAATCTCAGACGCTACTTTTAACTTACCTCAGATTAAAGGTGAGAGTCACTCAAGTATTTGTTTTTTTCAGAATAACATGATATTGAGGAGTTGCTCTCATTTCTCCTCTATGCTTTCTGATCTGTAAAAGTTAGATTTTTGTGACTTTATATATTTAACCAGTATGACTTGCTTTGAAAACTCTCTGGGAGTGAATTCAGTGCCAGTTTAAGCCAATGCTGGTTCTTATGGAAGTAGAGGTGTGCAGAAGTTTTGGGAAAAACTTGAGTGAGTGTTTGGAGTTCAAGGTTGTAGCAAGGATTTTGTTCCCTCACTGCTGTATATGAATATTTTTCCTTTACAAAAAATACTAGCATGGGGGAACAAGATGGAAGGGGGCTTTAACTATAACATCCTCTGTGTTGTGTGAGATCTACTATTCATTAAATGAAGCTCTTTGACCTGGCCTGAGGCTTGTGGTTGTTTGTTCAGAACATGTCAATGACTTAAATGTAGCATTTCTTTAGTTGTGAATACTTTTTGATGTAATAGACAGGCAAAAATCTTGCTGTGACAGAGAAAAAACTAGAAGAAAACTTGTTAATGTTGTGTGAGGAGAAGAAGAGGCAGCAGGAGAAGCTTCACAAACTGAAGCGTGAAATTCTACTCAAAGAGAGCAAGCAGAAACTGGATGATGCATTAGACAAGCAGGTGAGCTTTACTACAGTGTATGCTCCTCATGTATTGAAACAAGCTCATTTATGAAGTAGTCCTTTATCCAGAGAAGATTTCTCTGCCTCTGTGCCCTGCTAGGGTACAATTTTTTTTTTATGCATCTTAGAATAAATATCTGCTTCCTGTCATGGCATGGGATGCTTTCCACCAACCTAAGCAAATGCCTTTGTCACTCTTAGTGTCCCTTGTAGGTAGGCAGGAAGGAGGAGGTAGAATAATCCACTACCTGCCAGAGGAGGTTACAGTTGATGCACAGCAGACACCAGTATCTTAAACCCTATGAACCCACAGTTACAGCTACAGTTATGGCTAGAGCTCAAACATTGACCCTTAGGTGGGAAGTGAACATCCATCTTTCTTTTAGTTTTGTTTGGCAGTGATATTTCTGGCCTGGTTGTAAGAAGGCAAGTTTCTAACAAAGTTCCTGACACCAGATGATTTTAGGAACTAAATGCTCTACTCTTTTTCAGTATTTTGTTAGTTCTGTTGTGGCAAATGAAAACAGTACACTTTGAATAATTTTTGAAACCTTTGTTTGCTTTTAACAAATATAAATATCAAAAATTAAACAAGACTTTTGTCTTCTGGTGAATACACTGTTAACTACCATCAAAGTAGCAAAAAATAAAACACTCTGCCTGCTATGGGCCTAATATCTCTGGGCTACAGTAACAAGGGAACTGGAATTGACGTAGGTGTTTTGAGGTGGGAGAAGAAAAGCTGTTGAACAGCACAATAGGAGCATCATACCACAGACTTCTTGAATATCTGTCAACAAGTGTTTCAGAGTGGTGTTTGGTGTTTTTTATAAATGATTATTTTGTATTGAGCCAAGTCTGTGCTAACAGAATAGCTGCTTTTGAAGAAGTGTTGGTTTATCCTGGGTCTTTTCCAGGTGGAAGTGCTTTCTCCCCTTGTTCCTGCTTGTGAACAGTTTAAAGAGCAATATAAAAACTTTGCAGTTTCCCTGGATGCCACTAGACATGAATTACCCATAAAGAATATTCACATAGAAGGAGATATGGAAACATACCTTGGTAAGAGAAGTTAATTAATCAAATTTATTTTCAAAAATAACGGGGTTTGGTTTGTTAAAATTCTTATCTTGTCATTGCTGTGTCTGTCTGGCCACTGGAGGAGTTTTGTGAGCTCTTGGAGCTTGTTTGGATGCTGGACTGCAATGTGAGTCAGTGTTTTGCTGTGAATAGTTCTTGTCCCTGTTTGATAGTGTGAATAGTTCTTGTGTAAGCTGTGCTTGAACAAGTTTTTTTTACCTTGTAGCAGGAAAAACTTTCTGAATTAGGGCAGTTTTCATGTATGTTTTCTCTACAAAGTTTCTGTATTTTTTAACTGTATTCATGGCATTCATTCTTTCTAGTTCCTAATGAGTAAGCAAGTAGTAGAAATACTTGGATTTCTTGACTTTATCCCTCAAACAGAAACGTGTGGGTGGACTTGCTCACATTTCCTGTACAACTAGAGCTTACTATGTTGAGTGATGTCTCAGACTGGAGGATGTTTGTGTCATAAATTGGTACTTGAGTTTTTTATTGAAGCCTGGACAAAAGTTACATTTTCAAACTGCTGGTCTGCAAGAAAGGAGATTCTGAAACCTTTGACAATAATCTTGGTTGTACTTTAAAACAAATGTTAAAGACTTGAAAGGAAATAATTATTTTGGGTTTTTTCAATGCCAAAGGAAAGGACTGGATAAATTTTTGGGGTACATGCCAGTAGCAGTATATGTAACTGGCCAGGGGATTTGGAATGTTGAAAACTTATTTTTTCTTTTGCATTTGTCTTTTACAAAACTTTTACATACTGTAAAGGAGAGCTTGGTTAGCTATTTTAATAGCCTGTTGCTGGTGTTAGTCTTCACAGCTAAAAATAAATTGGCTTTCACAGTTTTCTCAGTGTTTGTGAAAGCTGTTTTCCATCATCTAGCTCACTTGCTTCTGTGGTTACTCCAGCTGTTAAGTAACCTTGTAGTAACTGACACCACTGCATGTATTTTTGAATAATATCTTTAACATTTAATCTTGTAGGTGAACTGCAAAAGGAGCTAACTGTCACACAGGAGCTTCTGACAGAAGTTATGCCAAGCTTCTCAGATGAAAGTGCTAAATTATGTGGTGTGCTGAAAGAGCTTAAAGAAGTTTCTCAGAAATTGGATAAAGAGATTCAAAGGTATTTACAACAATCAGGTGAAAAGACTCAGTGGCTAAATATTCAGAGGAAAATCTATAGTCTGGCCAGAATATATCCAGAATGTCTGTTGGAGGAGGGTTGAGGGGATAGTAGCACTGAAGTTAATTTTCTAGCAGACATCCATGTGTTTGTCACAACTTCTCTCTACAGCCAAAGTAAAGGTGTTTGGGGCTTTTCTTTTTGTGTGTTCTGTGTGAACTACTTTAATGTGCCATCCTCTGATACGTTAGCTGAGAATTTCAGGGAGGAAGAATAGCCCTGGTAAAGTGCAAATATGTAGGAGAAAAGAGAATGCAGGAGACAGAAGTGGAAGCACTAAATCTTAAATAACCATGCAACTAATCATCCTTTAAAGAGGGGCAAGAGGCACAGAAAAGTTGCTGGGGTTTTTTTAAGTATTTTGTCAACAGATGCAAAGTATCCCTGAGAGCCTGAGGAGGAGAGAAAGCATGATAAATGCCCTTTCCTTCCTTCATTTTCCTGATGAGAGATTCCAGCTAAAATCTTTGATAAACTACAAAGCCCCACATCTGCCCTTCCTGCAAGCTGCTCTTCCTTTCCTCAAATTTTAGCTTTTGGGAAGAAAATTTACATTTCACTGTCTTGGTGTTTTGTGTTTTATTTCTTTTGGTGACTCTGTGGTAGAACATTGCAAATGTTTAGGTGCATGCCCTTTGGGGTTAAGCAGAAGTTATCCTTCAGAGTAACTGATTTGGTTTGCTTCATTTGTTTCAGGAGCTTCACACAAGTGGAGAACCTGTCCTTTGAAGTTAGTAAAGAAGTTTCTCTGCATAACCAAAGTATATGTGAAGAGAATAATGGACTAGAAGTTGTGAAGGACTGGTACTTCAGCTAAGCCTGTGTATTGTTCTACTAACAAGTGGATACTAAATCAATGCCAGCATACTTGTCTGAAGGTATAACTTGAGGAGATTTGCAGTTATACTAGAATCTGAGACCAGCAGCAGGTGTGTAGGAAATGGAGTTATCTTCTGCGAGTTGTCCTATAAGGAGACCTCTGTTTGAACATGAATTTGTCACCCCTCACATCACCTTCTGCCTTGACAATACCGAAAGGTAAATAACATGAAATGTTATTCTTAGCAAGTATGATCTACATAGTCTTAAACTTCTTGTTTGACTTCCATGGAACTGGTTTCAAGGCCACTGACTTGCATCTTTTTCCCAAGTGGCATCCCTTGGAGGGCAGCGCAGGTAGAGGTGGAGCTGGGGGTGTGGCACTGTGCCTTTGCTGGTCCAGACAGGAGGATCTCTAGGAATGTACAGTATGATGATGAACAGCTTCAGGAGGAACTCTTAATTGTCTCATTTCTGCATTTGCTAAGACAAAAAGCTACATGGATAGCATGTAATGAGGCCAATGCTTGGCAGGGGCCTGGTCGCTTGTAACAAGTGAAAAGTTCTGGTAACTTGTTGCCTAGCTGTCTTGGAAACAAATTATTAAAATCAAATGCTTTTGTATTAACTTGACACCTTTTTAAGGACTTAATTTATTATTTTTAATAAAGACTTTTTCCATGGTTATATCACTAGCCTTCATCTTTGAGTATCTTCACTGACCTACAGAAGCTTTTGTTTCTGCTTGGGCTTACATAGGGTTAATTCTATGTGATATATGCAGTGATGGACTTACAGGCCCTAACCAGTCTCAGGGGCAAGCCAGGACCTACTGGCACCCAAAGTACTGAGGCCAGAAGAGTGTGAATGTGGAGAGCAACCTCAAACCTCACTCCTGAGCGAGTGCCCGAGAGCATAATTCTGAATGTACTTGCCAGATGTGGCATGGTTTTTCAATGTACTCTGGAGTTTTTTGGATGCTCTGGGCCAGAAACATGAGCTGCACCTACAGAGTTGGCCACTGGATGGGGAACTTTGCTAAGCAGTCATGTCATGGGTTAGCTGCCAATTGGAAGTCTTTATTTTTGGTGGATGGAGATTTCAGTAAAAAGGCTCCTATGTGATGAAACTGCTGGTCAGACAACTGTTCTCCCAGGTTTGGGTGATCACTGGGATGTGTGTCCTCATGCCTTTTAATTTGCTTGTGTTGTTCTGAGATTCAGGGAGCTGTCTTAAATATGAGAGGGGAGGGATAAAATGAAAATAAAGCTTATAGTGTCTTGATAATTCTTTCTCTGCACAGACAGTGTCTTTCCTGGGGTTTCTTGATGGTAGACCTCATTACTTCTCTAAAAAAAATTTTCTTTAAGAAACACCTTTAAACTAAATCCATTCCCTTTAGCCAAGTGGCTTTCTGCCATTGAGATACTGTTTTGTGTGTTTATGTCTGTATATCTATACATACACCCACCCAAATGTTAAACAGCCAGCAATACAGATTCTCCCTCTGAAGTGCAGCAGGATGCTTTTAGCTCTCTTCCCTGAAGCAGGGTGCCTGGGAGAGGTTCTTCCTGCTGTGATCACAGTGGCAGGCTCTCCATTTCGAGGCAGTAGCTGGTGCTGGCTGCTGCAGGTGGCAGCCAGTGTCTGCACCACAGGCCTGAGGCAAGGTGGAGCCAAAGGCCAACTGCACATGGGGAGCAACAAAAGGGCTTGGGGGTGTGCACTCATTATTTCAGCAGAACCATAGCCATTGGTTTGAGCCTTCTGGCCACTCTTTTCCCTGTTGGACACTTACATAATTCTTTGTACAAAGAGTAGAACAAGTGTTAGATAAAGCAGCTCAGCCCCCCCAGGAAAAAAGGTTTTAAACTATTTTAAACTGAGACTTTTTCCATCTTGATATTCCTGAATATTCAAAGTGGTTGTTTTGGCTCTTTGCAGAAGTGTTTTAGGCTCTTCCACCTTGAAATAGCCTCAGGATTAGATGCTGCCATATTTAACACTGTACAAACAACAACAACAAAGAACTGCAGAATCACTGGAGCAGGAGCTAAACAGATGTGACACCAGTTATTTTGTATTTTCTGCTTATTTTCTGACAGTGTCACATGCTCTGAATCAGTTTGAATCCTAAACAACTTGAGGACTCTTTTTATTCAAGTTATCAGTTTTTTTTTTAACTTAGAAATGAGAACATGATTAATTCTGCAACTTGTATCATTGTGGATTTAGTTTTATACTTTCTGAACTTGTGCAGTACTTATTAATATGTATTTGTCTTTTAGGCCAGAAGTTCTTACTGACCAGTTGCTAACATTCATGTATCCTAAGGTGCTTTTTTTTCAGCTGGGGTGGAGGCTTTTTTTTTTCCTTCCAAATACTGAAAGCAATTGTGAAATGAGGCAGCTAAGTCTGAGAGCCTAAGTAGGAATGAGAGGAGCAGAGAAGTATAAGTATTCATCCCTTGCAAAATTCTCTCTAAATGTCTAAAAAGCAATTGGGAAAGATGATTCTAAGCTAGGTGTGCACTGCACTGATTGCCCTGCCTGGGTTCTGGTGTTTCTTTGGGAGCTCTGACCCCATCCTCTTCAGTTTCACTGGTGTCTTTTTGTGCACCAGCTCAGGAGGGCTGAGTCAAAGCATTTTTTTGCTGTCATTCCTGAGCTCTCTGATGGGGCCAGGAGGGGTCAATATAGGGAGCATCCCACTTTGCCTGTGGAGCACTGCAGTGGAGCTGCAGCCCAGGCCCCCAGCCCTACAGCTCTTTGTTCACACGAGCCTCAAATGGAGCTGATTCTTTGCTCATCAGCAGCAAGTAAGCAGCTCATGACCCCAGCAGATGTTTCTGCATTTTAGGCTAATGAGAACTTATTGGATTACTGCAGTCTTCCCTGCCTTGGAGTAAATACCACTTTGGTGGAGATCCGGAAACTCGTCCTGAATATGATAAACAAACTGCTGGCTGGGCTGGGACTGCAGGACATGGGAAGAGTTCCACAGCAGCAGAAGATCTAACAGCTCTGAAATGCACCACTGAGCCACACCAATTAAGAGCACTTCCAGTGATTATGTGAGCACTCCTGTTCAACTCACAGAAATGATTTTAGGTTGTTTCTTCCCTTCCATTTGTGTGTGGTCTGTAAAGCCAGCACAAGGGTGGAGGGATGAGGTTTGCAGTGGTCTCAGATGCCTCCAATCAGTTTCTCTTAAAACATTTCTGTGATGATGTACATGCAAGCTCTATTCAATTTCCCAGTATTTCAAGGTCTTAAATTTCTTATGTTAGTGAACCAAAGTGCCTCTTAAGACACAACTAATTTTTTGTTTACATAGCTCCATATGTTTGGAGATGGCCTGTAGGATATCAAAACTTAATTCCTTGTTTTACCACCTACTGGATATGAGGGTGGGAAGTTAAAACAGATGATTGAACAATAGAGTTTTCAGGACTATGACCCAAAAAGATATTCTGGCACTAAATCCTTTGGGCAGTCAGGCTTTGTTGTGTGTTTCTTCAGAACTTTTTTGACAGGATTTCAATAAGTGAAATGAGTAACTGTAGGAGCACAGCACTGATCCCCAGCTAAACCAGGATGAAGCCTTGTGTGTGAGTACACTTCTACAGCTACAACCTAGGATGGACAGGGTAAGGATTGAATCTGTATAGACAGTACCCAAAGATGTCAAGAGCCCTTAACCCTTCCCTGCTGCCTTCTTTGTCTTGAGACATTTGTCTCCACCCAACTGAACAAAATCAAATTTCTCAATGTGATTTTTATGATATAAGGACACCTTGACCTGCTCCTTGTTATAAAGGTGTCCAGCTGAATTTTTAATAACTGGAGTGTGGAGACTTAACCTCTCTAAATCCCTCATTTATGTATGAAAATTCCACCAAACACTAGACTGCACAAAATTCTATTTCATCTGTCATATGTAGAGGCTGAAAAGAAAACCAGGAAATAATTTCTTTCTAAATGTCTTAATATCCACCACTTCTGATGAAGCACAGTGATCTATTTCTGTTCTAAACCAGCATCTGCCCATATAAATGACTTCCTAGTACTACTTCAGTCATTTTGTCAAGAATTAGTGTTACACTACCATGAAAGACCAGCCTCTCCTGTTCTGTAGATGATTAATAAACATTTCTGATAGAATAATCCTATTCTCAGTACCATTATCCTGCTGTTATACACTACTTCATATAAATGACTTCCTAGTACTACTTCAGTCATTTTGTCAAGAATTAGTGTTACACTACCATGAAAGACCAGCCTCTCCTGTTCTGTAGATGATTAATAAACATTTGTGATAGAACTATTTAATAATCCTATTCTCAGTATCATTATCCTGCTGTTAAACACTACTTGGATTATATTCTCATTTTGAATGTGCTCTTTAATCATCCTTTCTTTGTGATTTTGTTCCAGAGATGCTTGTATCCCCAGGAGGGCAGGGTCAGTGCTGTTCCTGCTGCTCTCTCTGGGCTGAGGCTGTAGTTGAGGCAGGAGCAGTTGTCCCCGTTGCTGCTGAGCTCGCAGTGCTGCGCAGGGCCAGCAGGATGCTGCTGATTGGCCTCTCCAGCAGATACCTTCTGTCTGGCTAACTCAGAGGGGGCTGCCACAGGAGCACGAAGTGAGAACAAAACTGGGAGTTAAGGGAATGGGCGTGGGGTTTTTACTATGAATATAATGCTGTAAAAATTAACTAAGTCCTTATTCTTGTCTGGCAGTACGTAGTGACCGACATGAAAGTGTTTTCCTTTGGGAAAGGGGGAGAAGTGATTCTGCCTTCCCTAAAGCTGATCACTGGTCCATGTACTTTTTATTTTTCACCCACCTTCTAGTGAAATCTGGTGCATACAGGATTTAAGACTATTTTATAGCCTCATTGCAGCATCTTTTCTGATGTGCACAGTTTATGCATGTATGCTCAGAATCTTTAAATAAGTGAGTATTACCTCCTGTGCCTTTAGGTCTGGTCATCTCTGGG